TCACCTTCCAAAAAGATAATTTAATTATAAAAAATGATAAATTAATTGTGTTCCAAAACTTATCAAATGTGGTCTCTATTTGTAGAGATTGAAAAATTATGAATTTTGGTATTTTTATTTTTATTTTTTAATATAAAATGTGAATAATAATTTAATTTATATAATATGATATGTAAAATTTATTATTTAATATATATTGGACACTTGTCTTTTTTAAACAAAAAAAAAAACTTGCATACCTTATTACCTTACCTCACGCGATTTTAAGAGAGAGTGCATTTCACACATGCCCTGACACACCTAGCAAGGTGTGCCAGGGCACACCTAAGTATTTGCGCCCATGGTTGATATTGGGAGATTGTATATATGTATTGTGTTTTTTTTTTTTTTATTACTAAATTTTGTCCCACATCAATTTTTAATAAAGACTGTACATAAATAGGTCACTTATCTTTCAAATTGCACCTCATTGTACTCTATTTATTTATGTCTGATAAGAAAATCACTAATTACAGATATCTTAATTTTTGGATTATTTAAATTTAGTTCTATTTTTATTCGTGAGATTAAATGAAATTAACGTTGCAGACGACAGTGATCGGAGACATGGACAATATTGGGCAACCTCTAACTAAATTTTATATGTTCTCTTATTTCTCGTCTTTTATTTTATGTATGTATTTTGTGATTGATTTATTTCACCTGAGGTATATAGTGCTCGTTATTATTTGTTGTGGATGTATTTTTCTATGCTGAATATATGTAAAAGATACCCACTATTGTAAAACCAATTTATAAGGTCTATTTCACAAAGCATAAATAAACTACTATCCTAAACATGGCTAAGTACAAAAATGTACAAAAACATGGCTAAACATGGCTAAGTACAAGAATGTACTTATGATTCATGCCATGTATTGATCACCTTCTTCTTCATCGACTTCTTCAAATATCGTCTCTAATTGTGGCGTATTTGAAGGTCTATGCGGATAAATAATCGGAGATGGAGGTACTTCCATCCATGCGCACAATGTCATGCTCATATTATTCCTCGTCATTTTTCGTAATCTATAAAAAAAAAAAAAAAATGTTCTAATTGCTCTCTTCCCTCCTAGGTTGCTTGGAAGAAAGAGAGGAAGTAAATTGAAAATTGTATAGCAAGTTTTGTTATATGGGAATTGATATCAAATTACTTTTTTTAATGTGTTTTTGAGAAACTGTTTTCAAAATGAGGGTGAGAGTGGTGTTTATATAATGGGAATTTTATTTATTTATTTTTTAGATTTTAATGAATTTGCTCCGAGGAAATTGGTTGTCCAATGAGAAATATGTGATGATTCAAAGCAAATGTAAATAACAAGACAAGTTATTGGTTGATATTAGAGCAATTGTTGACCCTGGACCATTCATGGACATTTAATGTTTGTTTTAAATCTTGTGTAAAATACTGTGATGAATTTAGTTGATTTATTCATTTGGTNATGCATATTATTGAAGCGAAGTGTCTAAAATATAAACAAAAGTATTATATTTTAGGATATAAATATGCGCGTTTGTTTTAATGTACGACGAGTCAATCCACCTAAATTATTATGTTGTCTCGTTGAATTTTTTTTTTTTCATTTATATAAATATGCATTTAGTCAGAAAAGTCTACATCAAAACCAGATCACAGACTATTACCTAAAATAAAAGAGAAAAAATGCAGAGAATTTATTATATTGCTTTCTCAAGTGGGCTAATTCGACCGAGTCAATTTGATGAATTAGACTATCGGGCCCAAGCTGTTCCTTTCTCAGGTTGAACCGGTCCAGCCCAATATGTGTTAGACAAGTCATTTATTAAAATGAGAATAAAACAAAAGAAAACTAACAAAAGAGGTAGTATTATTCATAGTATCATATTTTTACTACAATTTCTCGGTTGTAACTAAAATATAAAAAACATTACTAGGGTTCAGTAAAAAATAATGTTAACCCACACCACGAATTACTATCAATTATTATTTTATTATTTTTATATCAAATTCATCACATCCACATTTATATTCATTCACGATTTAAATCTTACTTTTTTTATTATAAAATATCTTTTTTCTAATTTACACCATTTTATGGGTGAAATAAAATATTTAGAAAAAGCATTTTTATATCTGTAATTGCACCTCAGTATCCTTAATTAATGCAATTTTAGTTCAATTTGTTCAAGTCCACCGTGCATTATTTCTTGCCACGTATGTCGTCATCTGGTTGGTCAATCAAGATTCCACACAATTTCATAACACAATTTCATAAAAGAAGTTAAACACACAAGTGGTTAGTGGATAAACACTTGTGTGTGGTTTATCTTTTTTTTTTTATGAAATCTAAGTCAAACTCACTATCTTCAATATTTTTAATATAATTAAATAATATATCTATCAATTATTTATACACATTACATAAACTTTAATTTACTATTCATCCACTCACATAATTTAACTAATCATCACTTCACATAATCTATGTCTTACTTTTATATCAAATCAACCTTTTATTGTTTTAAATATTATTTTAATATAAATTCAAAATTTCACTAACAACTAAATATAACACATTTTTTAAAACTAACCAAACTAAACTAAAAAATCCAAACAAAATAATAAAAAAAAAAATCTTATATCTTCATGAGACAATGTATTGTTTAAAACAAAAATCATAAGACTATCTAATTTCCAACTACCAATTTTCCTCTAGGAAAACGAGATAGCCTATGTTTGGTAAATGTAGATAATAACTTATAAGTTAATTGGTAGTTTATAAGTGAATTTCAATTTTATAGCTGATTATTTATTACTTAAGCTTATGTACTTATCAAATACATTCATAGTAAAATATGTAATTGCATTTTATTTTATACTAGTATATAGCCCGTGCGATGCACAGGTAAATAATATTAAATAATTATTATGAATTAACGATGACAGTAAATAATATTAATCAATAATTATAAATTAAATATGAGGGTAAATAATATTAACTAATAATTGTAATTAAGATGTGGAGATATTAACTAATAATTGTAATTAGGATGTGGAGTTAATATGTGATATAATTTATCGTATATCAGTTGTAAACAATATAAATTTATCTGGTATAAAATAACATAAAAAATGTATGTTTAAAATATTAAAAACACCTAAAATGTTATATAACATATGTAAAGTATCTAAAATTTTATATATCATTATTGAAGATGTGAAGTCACCTAAAATCTTTCTAAACTATTTTATAAATAACACATGTCTATAATTATTTAAAAAAATCTTGCCGAAAATATGTTATTCAATTTCCAGAATATGATGATAAGTATAAGTTTGAATTTTAGAATCCACGTGAGTATATTTTTTAGATTCGTGTACTATACAAATTATTCATTATGTTAATTTCCTGTGAACTTCATATTGATTTATTGATTTTATTTTATTTCTATACAAAGTTGATCGTCTCATTTTGTTTTACCATATTTGCATGGAGATTTAACAAAGTAGATTGCATTCATAAAATGATTTGGATATCAACATACAATTTATAATGGAGTTTTCAAAATTGTGTACTATTAACAAATGATATATTATCATTAAATATATTTTTTTTAAATGCACAATTATTGAGACTGATAATTTGATAATTATTTTACCTTTTTAAACTGAGTATAGAAAAAACAATAGATTGGTGAACAAATAAGTGATAAACATTACCAAATTTATTAACACACAGTCCAAATAAAAAAATTGTGATGATTAGTGGAAAATGATATTTAACGAATAGCATTCAATATTTTTTTTGAAAGGCATAAATATAAAGACCGATATTCTAAAATTTTTATTACCTTTTCAATTGAGATTTTATAAATATAGAGACTGAGATTATAATGTTCTTCGTTGTTTTTATGAAAAAATAAAATAAAAATGAAAAATGCACACTTAATAGATCTTAGTTAGAATTTTTAAATAATAAAATGAATTAAAGTCAAAAATTTAATGCAACATTGAATGTTGTATGATTTTTCAAAGATAAAAATAAAAAATAAATAAAAATTACTATTTATAGGTGGCATTAAATTCTCTCATTTTTTTTATTACTATTTTTGTTAAATAGTAATTCTTATTATAGTGTAAGGCTACAATTCCGTTACGGTACCATTCCGTTGGGATTTGTAACCGTTAGATCATCAAGTAACCGTCAATGATAGTTGATCTAACGGTTACAAATCCAACGGAATGGTTCCGTAACGGGATTGTAGCATTTTCCCTTATTATATATGTATAGATTAACTGCAAAGTTATCTGATTCACACTTTTCTTGCATATGTTCAATATAATTTGCATTAAAAGAGAGACTTAATTCTACTATAAATTACAACAATAACAGATGAACCTTCCAAATTTCCCGTCCTCCTACATCCACCACGCAATTTATGTACGCATTCAACCAAATAATCCCCAAAAGTTTTACTATTTCAAACATTGGCCACATTTTTCAACCATCACCGTCAACACGCTAAACACGCATTAGTAAATTTACGCGCTTTGGTCATATATTTAAATAATTTAAAGTAAAATCATTTTTTTTTCTCTCATTTACTTTGGTTTAAATAAAATAATAAATAAAAATCATAATTATGTGTATTTTAGAATTGAAAACAATTCGAGTCAAACTCCAATTTTTGGTACACAAACTAGGGATGAGCCTTTATTAAATCGATCAGAACTCAAATCGTTTAATCAATAAATAAGTTCGTACTCATCTTATTTATCAGTATTAACGGGTTGAACACAGACTAGAGTCGAGTCTGAACGAGTCAAACTAAGATAAAAATTCAAAACATTATTTAAAAATCATATTTTTGAACCTTAACAAGTTGAATATAGTAATTAAACTAGTCGAATTGAGCTGGAATATCAACAAACCGAATCAAGCGATCGCACGAGTTACTCTTTCCGTGTAATGGCTTAAAGTCTAAACACTCTTGTAAAAGTAATTAAAAAAGGAAAAAAGAATAAAATAAAATCCATAACTTATCCAATACTGAGCACTATAAATCCCCCAAATCCAAACTTCAATGAAACCTTTCTCCCCACAAAACCACAATCAAACCCCCAAATTTCTGGCAGAAAAATGGCATTGACAGCGAGAAAAAGCCACTGCTACCTCGGCGGCGCCATGGCCGTCGCCGTCGAGCCAATTTGCTCGGATTCGCTCGATAATCGATTCGAGCTCGACGAGTCCGAGATTTGGGCCTTTGACGACGTTGTTCGGCCCGACAGCCCACCGGACCGAAATACCGCGGAAAAGCCCGCAAAAGCGGGCTATCATCACCTCCGAACGGGTCCAAGGTCTGTCCCGGTGAACGTCCCCGACTGGTCGAAGATCCTCGGCGGAGAGTGCCGGCCACGCGCCGCCGGGTCCCCGGAGTGCGAGGGCGCGGGAAATGACAGATTGCCACCTCACGAGTTTCTTGCTAGAAATCGAGCGGCGCCTTTTTCGGTGACGCTGAAGGGTAGGGATTTAAGGATGAGAAACGCGATTTGGAAGAAAACTGGATTCGAGGATTAACTTTGAAAAAATAATGGGGGCTGATTGAAAAAACGGGATGATTTAAAGTCGGAAGTAAAAGTTTTGTATGATTAGGGCGTTGAGGAGATG